TGTGTTTGTACCTTTGATGTCATATCCAAGAAATCACTGCCAAATCCATTGTCCTAAGGCTTTTGTCCTATGTTTTCTTCTGAAAGTTTTATTATTTTAGGTCTTACATTTAGGTCCTTGATCTATTTTGAGTTAATTTTTGTATATGGTATTAGGTCAGGGTCTAACTTCATTCTATTGCATGTAGATATCTAGTTTTCCCAGTGCCCTTTTTTTTTTTTTTCCCCTCTTTAATTCCTTCCCCCCACCCCCCGCACTTCCACCCCTGACCTATGGATGTTGCCATTTCCCCTTAAGAACCGGATCTCTGAAGGCGGGGTATATCCTCTCACATACTCGCGCACTTGGGGGGCCTGTTGCACCTGGGGTATGGTCCATGGCTCCACGTGGGGCGTGAACCAAGGACCTTCTGCATGTAAAGCAGACGTGCTAACCACTAAACTATGGAGCCACGCCAACCCATTCTTGAAAAGATTGTCCTTCCCCTATTTAATGATGTTTGCACACTTGTCAATCACTTGATCATATATGTGAGGGTTTATTCTGGGCTCTCTATTTCATCCCATTGGTCTATATGTCTCTCTTTATGCAAACACCACATTGTTTTGATTATGTAGCTTTGTAGTGAGTCTTGAAATCAGGAAATGTGAGTCCTATGGTTTTGTTCTTCCTTTTCAAGACTGTTTTGGCTATTTGGAGTCCCTTGAGATTCCATATGAATTTTACGATTTTTTTTTCTATTTCTGCAAAAAATGTCATTGACATTTTGATAGGGATTGCACTGAATCTGAAGATTGCTTTGGGTAGTATTGACATTTTAACAATATTAACACTTCCAATCTCTGAACATGAAATATATTTCCATTTATTTATGTCTTCTTTAATTTCTTTCAGCAATTTTATATAGTTTTTAATGAAAAAAGTTTTTTGCTTCCTTGGTTAAACCTAAGTATTTTATTATTTTATTATTAATTTCCAGTATACAGTACATTGGTTAGATTATTAATTTCAAGTATACAGTACTCACTACAAAGCTATGTATAGTACAGTACATAGCTTATAAAACAATCCCCCTAATTGCTCTTTCTCTCCTCTGGCTCTCCACCTAGCCATTACATTAATGCTAACTGCATTCCCTATGCCATGCTCCACATCTCCATGACAATCTATCAACTACTAATTTGTGCTTCTTTAACCCTTCACCCCTTTATCCCACCCCCTAACCCCCTCCCTTCTGGCTGTCACCAGATTATCCTCTATATTTGTGAGTCTGTTTTTGATTAGTTTGTTCTTTTTGTTCCTTAGATTCCACATATAAGTGAAATCATATGGTATTTACCTTTCTCTGTCTGACTTATTTCAGTCAGCATGATACCCTCTAGGTCCATCCATGTGGAAGATACTTGTATGCTGTCTTTTAAAATTTACAGAGACTTAATTTGTGGCCTGATATACCATCTATCTTGGAAAATGTTCCATGTGCACTTGAGAAGAATGTGTATTTTGTTGTTGGGTACAATGTTCTGTAAATGTCTGTTATGTCTAGTTGGTTTATTGTGTTAAGTCCTCTATTTTCTTATCTTCTGTCTGGTTGTTCTATACATTATTGAGTGGGGTACTGAAGTCTCCAAACATTATTATAGAACTGTGTATTTCTCCTTCCAATTCTGTCATTTTTTGCTTCATATATTTTGATGGTTTATCAGTAGGTGTGTAAATTATATTTTGCTGTATCGAATCTTTTATTAATATACAATGTCCTTTGTCTTTTATACCCTCTTTTGGTTTAAAGTCTGTTTTGTCTGATTTTAGTGTAGCCATTCCAGCTCTCTTTTGGTTACTATTTGCATGGAATATCTTTTTCTATCCTTTCACTTTCAATCTGTTTGTGTCTTTGAATCCCTGCTCTTGTAGATAGCATATAGTTGGATCATATGTTTTATCCATTATATAATCTCTGTCTTTTGATTAAAGGGTTTAATCAATTTATATTTCTAGTAATTACTGATGAGTCATTGTGCTATTTGTTTTCTATATGCCTTATAGCCTTTTGTCCTTCCTGCATCCATTTCCTGCATTACTGTCTTCTTTTGTATTGATTTTTTGTAGTGAAATGTTTAAATTCTTTTCTCATTTCCTTTTGTGTATATTCTATAGCTATTTTCTTTGTTGTCACCATGGACATTGTATTTAACATCCTAAAGTTATAACATTCTAATTTGGATTTATACCAGTTTAACTTCAAAAACACAAAATCTCTGCTCTATACAGCTCTATTTTTTGTTGTTATACATCATCATTTTTGGTTGTTACTGTCACAAAATTACATATTTATAAATTGTCTGCCCCATAACATAGACAAATAATTTTTTAAAATGCATTAGTCTCTCAATTTATGTAGAAAACAAGATTTGGAGTTATAAACCAAAGTTATAGTAATATTAGCTTTTACACTAATCATTGTTTTTTCTTTAAATGTATTAGTCTCTTAAATCAGCAGTCCCCAACCTTTTCGGCACCAAGGACTGCTGCTCCTATGAGAATCTAATGCTTAAGGATCTGAGGTGGAACTGAAGCAGTGATGCTATATTTGGTGAATGGCTGCTAACACAGATGAAGCTTTGTTCCCTTGCTCACCTCCTGCTGTGCAGCCCGATTCCATGTACTGGTCCATGGCCTGGGGCTTGGCGACCCCTGTTAAATCGTGTAGAAAACAAAAAGTGCTATACAAAGCACTGTTCCAATAATATTAGCTTTTATAACTGCACTGTATTTACCTTTACTGAGATCTTTCTTTCTCTATATGGCTTCAAGTTACTCTCTAGTGTCCTTTCATTTCACCCTGCAGGACTCCATTGAGCACTTCTTGCAGAGAAAGTCTAGTGGTTCTGAACTCTCAGATATTGCTTATCTGGGAATGTCTTGATTTCTCCATCACCTCTGAAGGACGGTTTTGCTAGATATAGGATTCTTGGTTGATGTTTTTTTTCTTTTAAACTTTGAATATATTGGCCCACTTTCTTCTGGACTCCAAAGTTTCTGATGAAAAATCTGCTAAAAATCTTATTGAGGATCCTCCATGTGATGATTCACTTCGTTCTTGCTGCTTTCAAGATGCTTCGTCTCTGGCTTTTGAAAGTTTGATCATAATGTGCCTTGGTGTGGGTTGCTTTGAGTTCATCTTAGTTGAGTTTCTCGAATATTTATAGTTATGCCTTTCATCAATTTGGGAAGTTTCAGCCATTATTACCACATATATTCTTTGCACTCCTTTCTCTTCTCTAGGGACTCCCATACTGCATATGCTGGTCAACTTGATGGTGTCCCACAGGTCCCTTAGTCTCTGGTTTTAAATTGTTTTACCTTCTGCTCCTCAGACTCAATAATTGCCATTGTCCTATCTTCGAGTTTGTTGATTCTTTCTTCTCCCTGCTCAAATTTGTATTTGAATCCCTCTGGTGAATTTTTCATTTCAATTATTGTACTTTTCAGCTCCAGAATTTCTTTCTGGCTTCTTTTTAGGATTTCTATTCCTTATTGGTATTTCCATTTTGTTCACACATTGTTTTCTTGAATTTCTCCACATCTTTTATTTCTTTGAGTATCTTTAAAACAGTTGTTTTAAAGTCTTTGTCTCGTATATCTGCTATTAGGTCTTTTTTTATGGGCCAGTTTCTGTTGATTTTTTTTTTTTCCCTCTGAATGGATCAATACTTTACTGTTTCTATATATGTCATGTGATTTTTTTTTGTTGAACACTGGACATTTGAATCTAATAATGTGGTAACTCTGGAAATGAGAGTCTCCTTCCTCTCCAGCATTTGCTGTTTTTTTGTTATTGTTTTTGTTTATTATTTTGCTGTTGTAGGATGTCTCTGTGCTGAGGATCAGCCTGAAGTGTAAACTTAAGATCTTTTCAGGTCTCTTATGAGCCATTCCCTGGGCATGCTTAGTCACTCTCTAATTTTCCCTGCATATGCAGTTGCTTTTTAATGTCCTAATCTATAATGTCTGGTTTCACAAAGGAGAAAAAGAAAAAAAATGAAAGGGATAGGGTACCAGACCTTTAAATTCCTTAGAAGACACTTGAGCTAGAGTAAGAGTAGGGTTTAGCAAAAATGCAATGGCTGCCCACCTCCTTGCACCTCTGGAATCAGAAACAGCAATCAGAGCAGAGATTCCCAGTATTTGGCGGACAAGGTCTTTTTTGCCCAGCCTGGCTCCTGCAAGCTGTGTATAAGCTGCTCCAGGAACAGTACACAACTGTCTGCCATGTGGCTGGGGGTGGGGGATAAAGAGTTGCTTCTATGCTAAGAGCTGGCTAAAATTAACTGCAATTTACCATCCAAGTTTTCTTTGGAAGTTATAAGCATTCGACGGACTCCAGAGTTCCAAAATAGTTATATCAGATAGATTCTGCTAGTGCCATTGTTATCTAGGTGGGACGAAAGATTCCTGATACTTCCTAGTCTACCATCTTCCCAGAATCCTCTACCTTAATACATAATTTTTAATCCTTTATAATGATCTTATAAATTAAAAAGAACACTAAAAGCATTTAGAAATCACTTAACTTTTATTCTGAAGTTATAAAGTATTTTTACTATCTACATATGTATGTGGGTATGCATATATGCATACCTGTGTGTGGAGGTGATAACAAGTGAGATTATTTTAGGATTCAGGCTTAAATTCAAAGAAGGAGGAACTAACCTAAAGAAAACCTCACACAGACAATTGACTTATTCCATATAACTATTATCTGTAAACCCAGAGCTGACTGATCTAAGTTAAGAACCTGAGGCCCAGTTATCAGTTTAGCCTTACCTCATGATCTCACACTAGGAATATAACTGAACATTTCTATTCCTGACTAGTGAAATTCCAGGCTTAATTCTTTCTACCCCAAATGATCACAAGGCACTTTGGGATTCCCTATTTCAGTACAAGTGTGTTTTTTAAGGTATCTGATGCTAGTTCTTTTTGCCATAAATACTCACTCTTCCTCATGGACACAGCCTCCAGTAAGGGGTCTTCAAGGAAGGAGGGAGACATACTGCTGCTGCTGGCTGACTTGTGCAGAGTCTCTTCCTGAGAAAAATATGGGCAGAGAAATAGATTCCTTATACAAATTAATAATATTTTACTGTTAGTGCTCTTCTGCTAATTAATAACATTTTGCTATTAAATATTTATTTTACCATGAGGCATCAAATTATAATGTCAAAAATTCTAGACAAGCAGAAGACAAACTAGAAGGGATTTAAAATTAGATATATGTCTGGATTTGTGTCCTGGCTTTGAACTTATTAAAGTGATGTGACATTGAGCAAGTTTCTTAGTTTCATCATCTGTAAAAGATGGGTATATAATACCATCTTTCCACAAGTTTATTGGAAGGATTATATGAGAAAATGCATTCAAAATGCTTAACACATTAGCTGGCATATAATAAATAGTGGTTAATATTATTATTAGGGGAATATTTAACACATTTATAACAGACTGGGAACGCCATGAGGGTAGATCCCACGTCTTGTTCATTGTTACCTAGTACCAAACCCAACACTAAGTATGTAATGAATATCTTTTGAATGAGTGGATGAAAATAAACATTTCATGAAATACCATGTGAATCTAGAAAAGTAGCTACATTATGCCAAATAAAATTTAAATTCCTATCACCAATGAGAAGAGATCTTAATTTGTTTTAGGCTATACCAAAATGAAGTACAATATTTATTCATGAAAAATTTACTACCTACTCTATGATAGGGACTATATATTAAATAAGAAGACAACTTATTTCCAAGATATCTATAGAAAACTAAATATTTTTAAATATAGAATAAAATTAGGTTAATATATTAATCTATGACTATGTAAGACAAAGAGTGAAAATTCTCTCTGACCTGCTTGGTGAAGGTGACTGAAAGAATTAGCCATTCATTACAAACTGACCTCACCTAAAACCTACTGTTGAAAGCATTCGAATAAGCTACAATTCAAAGGATCTGGCCAAAGAACAGAAGAAGAAAAAAGGCTGTGTAAACCAACCATACGGTTCCGACAAATAAGGTCTGAACAGTGCCCTCCACACTCTTGATAGTTACCATGAAGAACAAATCAAACAATGTAAGCAAAGTCTCAACCCCAGATACCGTACAGGTCACACAAGTTTCTAGAAAAGCTAGCAAGCAATTAGAATGACCTCCTTCTGCTTATGGAAGGTCAAAAGGAAATAAAAACCAAGAATATCTCTTAAGAAAAGAAAAAAGGAGTCATACACAGCACTTTCCAAATAATTATGAGGTGGGTGCTACTCTGATATAAGCAGCAGAAACATTCCCCTATCTCAGATACTTTAGCCCACCTTCCCTAGAAATATTTTTTAAAGCCTAATTTTACAGAACTCTGAGACTTGTCCACATCTGTCACCCCATTCTTTTTTACTCATATGAATTACTCCCATTGTGAACAACCAAGAGCCTGTCATGGGGCAGGTGAGGCAAATGCAAGTCAGTCTGTAGGAGATAGAAAAGTTGTAGGGACAGTGGCATGATACAGGACCTTTCAGAAGCTGTTGATGGTCCTCTGTCTCTGCATGCCCATCTCAGGCAGCTGCATTCAATTTTTTGACTACTTGAAAACTAATTTTCACCAGGATTAGTTCCTGCCTTGAAGGAATCACAAACACACCCAGAAGGGGAACCAGGAGTCTTTTAGAGGTCAGATCTCCTGAGTGAGAGAATGTGTGTGTGTGGATTCCTGCTTGCTGCTTGCCCTGTTACATCTATTTCCATTGACTAAATACTTTTTGCCTGCCTGAGGGATTCTGAAGGGGCTCTGAAATCTCTGGATCAATTTTTTCTACTGCCTAGCCTGGTTTTCAAAATTTGCTTGTGTATTGTCTTATCTGTTACTAGTCTCTGACACTCACTAAGTTAAACCTTTTCTGGTTCTACGTCCTGACCAGTGACTCTTAACCAGATCCTGGCTATAATGAGGTCACTTTCAGAACTGGCACTGCTCCACTGCTGCTTTGTTCCAAGGGTGGTAATATCACTAAAGGCTGTCAGAATCGTCTCAGAGGCCAGTCTGGGCACCTAACAGGAATGAAAATCTTCCTTTTCCTGG